AAAAATTTTAAACTCAGCTCTCTAGCTCCCCAACCACAGCTTCAAGCAGCTCCTCAACCCAAAAATCGTTAACAGCTCAGACCTAAACCGCAACTGTATATGCAAATGAACGTGCGTTTTTAGCAACTCGGACCTGAACCGCAATTGTGTATGCAAAAGAACGTAGATTTTTTGAAAAACGACCGCTCGAGCAGTACTTCCACTTTTTAGCGAACTGGAAATTTGCGTTTTTTCAAAAAATTTACATTTGTCATTTTTTCATAAAGCGAGCATTTACCGAAAAAACGACCGGACTACATGCAGAAAACCGGTAATCATGCATCTGGATGTCCGTGCAGCCTTATAATGCACAACCTTCATCCCAACTAACGCCCTTCCTCCTGCATGCTGGAAGGGGCCAAAGCACGGCCAATATGAGCCCAAGTGCTGGGCTATAGCGTAAGTATCATTCTTGTTAATAGCGATCTGCGAGTTTAGTGCAAAAACGCATGATCGCACAGGAAAGCCTGGTGCGTTCCAGCCTCGGTTGCATTTTGCATAAGCAAAAATGCATCAAAACTCTCTTTTAGTATGCTGATCCCAGAAAATGATTTTGCACTTTTTGTCATTAGCTGATAGGGTCTTTGCAATACGTACATTTGTGTCGCAGAAAAGCTCCATCGCTTATATGCAACTAGCTTACTTGCGGGGCTGTGAAAAATGAACTGTTTACTTAGCCGAGAGATCCATATTTCTGAGAAAACGCGCTCGGCCAGTCATCACCTCCGCATAGATATCCGAGAGTGAGTCGCCTCGAAATGGTGGCACACCAACCAGCATCTCATAAATCAGAATACCCAGCGACCACCAATCGACCGCAGTACCGTATCCTTGGTCATCGATTATCTCGGGCGCCAGATACTCTGGAGTACCGCATAGAGTGTATGTCCTAAATTTTATCATAATTGAGGCGCGTTAATTATTGAGACATTTTACTAATAGCTTTGAGTTGTGGCTCCAGTCCTAGCCAGTACTCGAAATCACTCAACAGACCTGTCACTGATGACTTTCGCAAAGCCAAAATCAGTTAGCTTCATGTGCCCATTCTCTGTTAACATCAGATTCTCTGGTTTGAGATCCCTGTAGACCTGTAAAAAGGCTGACGGTTAAAAAAATGACTAGCGCTGTAGATTTCGCGCAGTGGCATCTTTAACAGAGCAAAGAGAGGGGTAAGTCGTCATTTCTTGAAAACCGTTTAAAACCGCTGAAGTGGAACGGCCATTCGAAAGTAGGTATTCAGATATGTAGAGTGATATCAGCAAAAATCAGGAGGAGCAAAACTGACTTCCTCTGAAAATGGCATTTTTATTCTCAGATTCCCTTAGCTTCTTTTTCTGAATGCTGGAATGACGTTCAGTTCCATGCTAATTACATGAATGCAAAAGCAGGTAGGATCGAGGAAATTAAGGTGCTTCTTGCACAAATGTTTGGAAAGCAAGTAAAACGTGTTCTACGCTGGCTCAGCAAGAAAAAGCAGGGATTTGTTTAGTGCGACATAATAAATGAGAAAATTTACAATATTATTGGAGTGTAGGTATTCCAGAGCAAGCACAATTTCAGAGGCATAGAAACGACTGGCGCTGTTGGAGAATCGTTGCGCACTGCGTAAATATGAAAAAAGCTCGCCACCTGGCACATATTCAAACAGCATACACAGATTCTGGCCATCACATTTCGAGCAGTGCCTAGAATGTATTCAGAAGCTTTACCACTGCACATAATTAAGCAATTGCACGAAAAATCAAAGCAACAGCTACAAAAATATGTTATCATGGGTATTAATGACATTTTGAAACTTCCTGAACTCCTAGTTGCGACAGATGAGCATTCGCCCCACGTGTTTTTGGATTACGTACCATACGGCTGATAACCTACAAACTTTCTCTATTACCCAATAACATTGCACATCGCTTTCCTTTTTATGTCTTTTTGCGCATTTGTCCAACTGTAAAATATATGCTGCAACTAATTGTAGCAAGAAAGTCGCTAACTCGGAAACCAAAAAAACTAGAAAGCTGAGATTTTAGAAAGACTTTCCTTCTCACGCGTAATTTAATGGTTTTCAATTCAGTTCTTAAGTAAGCCTGGCACTCACCTGCAGGTACACGAAATTTTTGCTAGAAAAAATGTTTGCTTGAGAACCAGAACAGTTAGGCCACTTTCAGTGAGCAGCCCGGCTACCGAAAATTATTCATTTTTTTGGCTAACCTGGGAACTAGCAAAACCGGGAAGCTGAAATTTTCAGGGAATGTTGCCAGCCCCCGTACGACTTAAAGTCATCAAATTCATTCCTCAGGCATGCGCGGTTCTCACGTACGGCCCCGTGAGATTTTTCGGCGAGAAAATGGCTAACTCG